AGGGTGGGTCAAAAAAATTAATGAATCAGTCAATTTATTTTTGATCAAATAAAGAACGAGCCGTGACTTTCAGACTGAAAGCAATTTCATTAAAATGTCCCGTCACAGAACTCTAATGAGAAGAAACTATGATTGACATAGAGACACGGTTCTGAGAGCGAGGGAAGTACTGTCTAAACTCTTTAGACCAATTTTTTTGAAAATACACTAAGTTTTCGGACGGTTGCCAAACTTGCGCATTTACGAGGACATCTCTTAACAGTAAGGAAGTTTGGCACACAGGAGAACTTCGTCTTTTTCAACTGCTGCAAATTCATCTAATTTTTTTTCGAAGTGGCCAACATAATTATAAAAAGAACTTTAACAAATGTGTTATAAATTAATATTTTTACTAAAAAAACTGTATTAATAACGAGGGTGCCAAATTTCCTGAATAGTAAGAAACATTTTCAACAACACATTTAAAATGTGAACAGTTTACATAGAAAAAAGGACAGAAAATGTGTTTGTGTAGTTCTCAACAAAATTTCTATATTAACACAAATTTAAAGATGTTTTTTCAACCAATTTTTGCAAATAATTTTCACACTTTTATTTGTCACTCCACCAATTGAGAAAACTTAACGAACACTGTATAGTTTCACTGCCTCACAGAGAAGGTTGAAGACATCTCAAAAAATTTTATTTCTAGTTCACAGTTTTTGATAAAATCACCATTTACTCCAGCAGCTGACCAATACTCCTCTGGCGAATAGTCGACAGAATTTAAAGGACAAGGAATTTTTTAAAATCAAAAACTAGTGAAAAATTGAAACGTCTTCACTGCCCATTTTTCACTCAAGAGTTCTAAAGTCTTCACACAATTTCAGTTGTTGAGAGTATTCATAGTCTCAGTGGTTGATTGGCACTCCTCTGGTGAATTTTCTGCTGAAGTTGATGGATACAAAATTTTCTCCACTAATTAGAAAGTTTAATTTTAAACAAGTGAACATCAATACAGTTGTTCAACAATATCGTGTCTGAAAAACTTGTACTGGACTGGATACCAAACAATATCATTTTTGATATTGTTTCAGTCTTTATTCTCAACTCCGAAAACTCACTTAAATTTGATTATTGTAAATAAGTATTTATACGTGATTATGGCTCGATCGAGTAATATTATGGCAAAAATAATAGTTTGACTAACCACAACTTTTAAAACATGCAAATGCAATGCCTGCCATGTGAATGTGCGAAAGTTCCTTTTAATGAGTAACATGTTTCGCATGGAGGCAGCACATTGCAGATTATCGACAAGCAAGCCAGGTTCTCATATGAAATAAGAAAACGTGTGCAACGATGTCAAATTTCACGTTTATTTATGCCAAAATTCCGCTTTGATGAAAGTGGCAATTTGGCACAGGTGCGAAAGTAACCACGAAGTTACCGAATTGCCTACAATATGCATGTTTTCGATGCCAAATTGCCGCCTAGATATATATATATATATATATATCCCATTTGCTATATTCTGAAAATCATTCTTAAAACTCGATACTTTATTTTTAATATATAACCAAACAGATAAATAAACAAAATTCGTATATTAATGATTTACAAAATAAAAGACCTTATACTTTCAAAATTTATTACAAAAACTAAATTCATGCCATGAATCACTTTCTTCTGCTAAACAGCACGACAGCCAGCGGGAAAACACCCTGATATGGACTTGGGGAAGGTACAATGGGCCCAAAGGCGAGGCCTAAGTGCCGGCTGGCCACGGTCAGCCCCCATAAATTAAGAATCCAGAAGAATCCAGAATCCAGCACGACAGCCGAACACAGACCAACAATCAGAAAAAATCATAAAAAGCTAAACTAACCAATCAAACTAACCTAACTCTTGAATACGTGACGTAATTAAATATACAAAAAACGAAAGTAACCTTAACTTATTTAAACCTAATCTTGAAATAATTAACAAAAATAAAAGCCTACAACTCTAAATGCAAACTGGGAAAAAAAACACAAACACGTCGCTGTCAGCTATTGGACAAGAACAAATGGAACAAACTTTTTGTTTAATTTCGGTTGTGTGTACGTTCTCCTAGATTTAGCGCGTGGTTTTGAAGCAGCCAATAATACGAATACGTTCAAATTACGCGCGGAGGTATGGGCGTTTCGTTTACTCTATTTCTTCGCCGTCCAGACTATAGAACAATTTCAGAAGTTTGCACTAAGCATACTAGGGATGGGCAGATTCGGTCATCACTACGAACGGACCGTCAAATGTCGTTCATTTCGTTCATTTCGTTCATTTCGTTCATTTCGTTCATTTCGTTCACTTCGTTCACCGTTCACTTCGTTCTTAATCATTCAAGGCTCAGGGATCTATTGATGAATTCGGTCTTTCGGCTCTTCGGTCAATGGTCTTAGTTTCCCTTTTGCTTGAATCCGATCACTTTATAGGGAAGGTCATGCTCAGAACTATCGCATAGGTATTCGAAAAAAAAACCCGGCCCATTGCTGTCTTTTTTTTTTCGAATACTGCATTGTGTGATACGTCAAATTAAATCGTTTGAAATATACTATGATCTGATTCGAAAAATTAATGATTTAACGTCTATTTGGTTTTGTCTACATTTAATTTTTTTTAATGTCTCTCATTGTTTTAGAGATTCATGTAACGATTATTATTTTCTGAATTCTGTGATGTAAAAATAATAATTTAATATTTAAAAAATGTAACTTGAATTTGTGGACGCAAATAATTGTGTTAATAAATACATCAATAGCACTTTTGACACAAAAATTAAATTCGTTTTTATCACAGCTTCCAAGCAGCTTTTGCGTAAAAAAAAATAATTTATTGGATCTTTCGAATCATTCGGTCGTCGCCCTTACGATGAACAATGTAGGAGCAGATTTGTTTTGTTTCCTTTTATACCTTTTCCTTACGTTCTAATGTGATGAAGCCGTGAATAGTCACGTTCATTGACTATATTATACATTGTACCTTTTTTACGTGGCCATAGGGATTTTTTTTATTAATAATCATTACAATAGTAATAATAATTCTTTATTTACATTTATTTTTTTAGTTTTTAATGTTCAGACGTTTATGAACATTGTATATTAGTTATCGTCATAAATTGTCATTTTCGTTCCCGGTTCCTAATTTAAATTCATACTACTGGAATTAATCTGTCGGGAAAATTTATGTTCTTAGTTAATTCCATAAATAGCATAGCATATTATATATATATAAATAACATAGAACTGTGCTGGAGCCATGATTCAAAGATCCAACGGAACCAAGATCCAGTCGAGACAATGTGAACGGTGAACGAGTGAACGAGTGAACGAAATGAACGAAAGAACGACTAGTTTGCGTTGGGAACGATTTCGGTCACTCGTTTATTCGAACGACCCGTTCAATTTGATTCGTTCGTTCGCGAACGACACATCTCTAATAGTGGGATTTATAAACTTGCTGTTGACGTTGAAGTTGCCGCTGCAGTTGCTGTTCCCGCTGACGTTGCTGCTAGAGCTGAAAATTGTCATTTATAAACTCCGTTGGCAGTTGCCGTTCGCACAGGCCGTAGCTGTCAAATCCAATTGTGAGGTTACGTTTCCACGTCAACAATGCACAAACACCGACAGAAAGCTACAATGATGGCAGGTTTTTAAAATATCAGGGTTTCGGTGAACAGGTGATTAGGTGGTTTAATATTAGTGGGCCTCATTATTTGATTTTGAAATTTGATTTTCGTGGAATTAGTGCTGTCAACCAGAAAAAGGTCCCGCCTACTTCAGGGAATTTTCTTTCAAGTTGACGGCACTGCACACCACCTCAGTTTGATTGGTTGAAAACCCAACGTCAACGGCAACGTAACGGCGAAAGATAAAAGTTGGTCATCTCGAACGTCATCCCAACGGCGTGCCAACTTCCAACGGCAACGTCAACGGATGATATAAACAACGCATACCTTTGCTGTATATTTATCTTCCAACGGCAACGTCAACGGCGAACAGCAACGTCAGCGTCAAGTTTATAAATCGACCTTTAAGCATACTATGCCACGAAACCCGGGTGTAGGTGACAGGCCGTAAGACACGCTTGGCCGGTCTTCGCAATAAGGTCGCTTTCACTCTATGGGATTGGTCCAGTGGCGGCACAATAACACGTCGGTAAGCAGAGAAGAGATAAGTCGTTTCGTGGTGTAGCGGTTAGCATACTTGCCCGGAAAGCAAAGAGACGTGGGTTCGAATCCCACCGAGGCACAACATTTTTCTCTGCTTACCTACAGTCCATTCTACTCCCACCGAGGCACAACATTTTTCTCTGCTTACCTACAGTCCATTCTACGGGGCTGTTGCTCGGAGCCAGTTTCCTATCCGGAGAGAAAGCACCTGGAGTAGCTATTCTAGCTTGAGAAACGTATCTCCAGTGTCTCGCGATAGATAGAAATAATATTCGGGTGAATCTTCTAAATAAGAAAACCATTGGATCAAACAGAAACTTTGAACAAACAAAAAGAACTGGAAACCCAGTCAGGGTCGTCCTAGAGCTTTCCTGGCAACAACGACAAAGAAGGGGGGAGGGGCCGTCAGCGCTGCGGAGGTTGTTTCTAAATTGGCATTTAATCGCCCAAGTGCCTTGTTGAAGCTTTCGATCATTATCAAAATAATTTTTCTAATTTCGAGCCAGCAATACCCACTTTCGTCGACGTCTAACAAAACTAATAGCTTTTAAAATGCAAATAACTATTTTCTTCTTTATAGTTACGATACGATAAGATGCTGTTATTTTGGGATTTAATTTCTTCGTTTCATCGAAAATTTATTTGTGCAATAGAACTGCAGATTGTTACCAAGCATCGGGCAGTCTGAGGCATTAGTTATTAAATTACCTATGTGGAAATGCGACATTCTGAACAAAAATATTACTACATGTTCATCGTATTTATACTTTATTTCTGCTAATCTTATACTTATAATTTATAATATTTACAGCTTCTGATGATAGCTATTGGTTCAGTATCTACTTTATTTCGCTAGCGGTATTGATAAGTCTTATTTTCATAATTCTTATTCTAATACGTATAATGTACAAAAGAAGGAGACGAAATAAACAGCCAGCTATTATTCAAGAAGTTATAATGTTAACAGAAGACAAGAAACCTCTTGAGGACACAGTCATCGACTTTGACAGCCTCGAAAATCGTTGCCTGCAACCTACATTCCTTACAACTTTGAGAACACAATTCAATGTGAGTTTTTTTTATTGTTGTTATCTCACCGTTTTGTTGCATCATCATATAGGTGGTATTATGTAGATTTTATTATTGTTAATATTCATTTTATAGTTGAAAAACTAACATCGTGCATATTTTTAGAAAGTTTGAAGTGAATGATATTTATACCAAGCAAAATAATTTGGAAAGGGTTCGCTTTATTAACAATACTTAATGCAATCGCTTGAATCAATCAAATGGACATGTAAAGTGTACAGTGCGCATAAAAATTAACAGACATACAAACTAGTAATAATAGAAAAAATCATATTTTAATGTCTTGGTTAGTTAATTTCAGGTACTGTGCCCCATAGTTCTTCTAGAATTGGTTTGCAACCTGAGAACATCAATAAGAATAAAGACCGCAATCGAATTATACCTTGTAAAATATTTTACAATTCTAATTAAATTGTTTATATGACATAGTTTTTTAGTCGATCTCAACAGAGTTATTCTTAAACCAATGGAAGGTGTAGGAACAGGAGACTATATAAATGCTAGCTACATTGATGTAAGTTTCTTTGTTTGTCCTATTCGTCTTGCTAGGCATAAAATACTATTGTTAAAAATACAAATTAAAATTTCAGGGTTACGATCGTCCGAAAGCTTATATTGCTTGTCAGTCGCCCAAATTTTACACAGTTAAAGATTTCTGGAGAATGATATGGCAACAGGAAGTTAGTGTTATAATAATGGCAACAAATTTTATTGAATGTCAGAAGGTAAGATTTCCAGTGTGAACGCTAAAATCATTAAGATATTATGGTTTATACATATTTGTTATCTTCCTTGCCCATTAGATTCTATTCAGCTGTTAAAAATCATTAAATAATATTTTTAAATAAGTATATAAAAATATTCCCGATATATACCGGCTGTCTGGAAAATGGCGGATTAACTCTTCAGTACGTTATATACGGGGGTTTCGGGAGTTCCAAAAAAATAACAAAAAACTTCTTTATAACGTAGATAACGAAAAAAACGTGGTTTTGTAAAAGTAACGTTGGCAACACTGGACTCAGCTAATGCGTGAATACCTCCGGCTTACTTTCTGGTTTTTTAGTAACGATGCTGACTGAAATCCACCTTCGCTTTATATCAGGCAAACATTGTTGTCAAATGGAATTTTATCAAATTATTACAAAAGCAACACAGCCATATCTTCGTGCATTCTAACGGAAATGGTAATTGACCAGTAAAGTGAATGACGCGCGAAATTTGAACTCAGTTCATAACACGAGACCCGTATTTCAGTTCCCCGTGTTAACCTTATGGGTGAAATCGAGGCGTCACTTTGACGCTTAAATTCTACCATTAAAGTAATTTTCTCATATATCCCACTACTTGTACCATGAAGTCTGATATTTTTACTGTTGATCCTGATACCAAACATGAACGGAACTGGTGTTATTTAATAAATATTTAAATTCAACTTTTACCATTACATTTGCCTCGAACGTATGTCGTACAGTGGTTCATACTGCCATTGACTTCCCCCTCCACATAAATGGCTTTAATTTTCAGATGCTACAGGTGCAGATACGGCTGTGGATTTAAAATAATACATAAAGGAGATCTCATATTTGCAAATGTTTTCAATCAATTGCCAAATTTTGATTTAAGAATCATCATCAATCCCAAGCTTTTTTCTTTTCACACATTTTTGCTAGAAAAGCAAAAACTTAGCATTCCTGATTAAACCTTTCATGTACAAGTAAAAATCACTTTCATTTTAGTACGAACTGGGTCTGAAACACCCATTTAAAAAAAAAATCACAATTTAAAGAAAAATTTATTTCAAAACAAAACAAAAAATTCTACAATAAAAAATTGCACTTCCTAATGCAAAATCTGATTCACTTTTGGTGAAAAACTGGCCCACAAACTGTCGTCTTGATGGTCCATTTAAATAGTCCTCAGACACTAATAGTTCTTCGACACTGTGAAGTACATTTTCTTGAGATCTTTCTGGTTTAGAGCCCAATAGCCAAAGCAGTGCTTCACTGTGGTGCTTCGCTCCCATCAGTTTGTCGTAAGCTTTCATGAAGTTGTACCTCAACATTAGCTGTTTTTAGGTTGACTTGGGGATTAAAAGAATTTTCAGAGATCACAGCTCTGACCTCAGCTGATTCACTTTTCTTCAGATGTACGTCCCAAGAACGTAAATTATTGGTCCAAAATACATATATTATAACGTCCGTGTAGGGCAGATGTAGCCATATGGTGACATACAAATGCACCTCTTGGGGTTTCACATGTTGCCTCTCTTAAGGAATATCTATGCATAATAAAACAAAATACCTCATAATTGTCCTTGATACAGAACTTTTATCAATATACATTAACTTACCATAACCTTATACCTGGTTATTTCGCATTCTAGCTCGAATAAACTCTTCAAGCACATTTAATTTAATTCAGTATACCAATTGACTTTCACTACATTATTTGACTGCAAAGAATTTTCTCCGTTCACAATGCATTTCCGATCGTCAAAAAAAAATTGGTAATTGCCCCCATTGTTAACACATGTCTTTCTTCATTTTTAATAACAAATACAAAAAAACCAGTCCACAGACATATACAACCTAATGTGAACTAATATCACAGAACTAATATCACACAAAAATTGAGTATGATTATTTGTTGTGATTAAAGTACGAAATCAACTGTCATATTTTGGGGATTTTCACGATCTAAACGTCACTAGTACCGCAAAATATTCGCGTTCTTTTTCTTTCCCAAGGGTTTCTGGATTTTCCGTTTCACTCACGCGCAAGACGTTAGAAACGATGTACGTCACTTCAATGGATAGAGTTGTTTTTAATTTGCATTTTTTCTTTAACAGAAGCTTTTTATATAGTTAAACCTTTAGTAACAGGAAGATAATTGTACAGTCTTTAGCGCTTGTAGCATGAACTAGTTAAGATTTCTACCTATGCGGCGTATTTTTACTTCCCGAGCGTAAGCAAAGGAAGTATTGTAATCGAGTCCGTCGGCCGACTCTCTACTTTTACGTTTTCTCGATCTTTAATATTATAACATAACATTTGTATTTTTTTCTTTTCAGCGAATGTGTGCAGAGTATTGGCCCCAGCGCTTGTCAGAGTTGTATGAATGTGGTAAAATCGTTGTAAAATTGCTTAAGGAAACCACATTTGAACAGTACAGTCATCAAGAGCTTGAAGTAATTTATGGTAACAACGTCAGAACCATACATAATTTTCATCTCAAGTGGACTATTAACGCTTCCAGTATGTTTTATCCGAATAATGTTTTACCTATTGTAAAACTTATAAGACAACGATATGAAAATTCAAATGGACCAATTGCCGTACACTCAGGGTTCGTCGTTTAACAGATTATAGATGGTAACATATTAACTGATTTTTAGGTATGGTACCGGTCGAGCGGGAATTTTAATTTTATGCGATTTGGCATTACAGATGATCAAAATTGATAAGAAAGTTGACTTTTTCAACTTAACTAAAACACTTAGAGAACAACGACCATTCATAATTAACAAAGTGGTAACTTTTTTGTCATTTTATTATGAAATAAAAAGAAATATTTATGCATAATTAATTGATACTTCTATTAACCGTAGGAATGTTACTTGTTTGTACATTTACTTGTAAACGAATACTTTTTGGAACACAGAAATCCGTTTCAGTGTACTGTTGGAAACAACATAAAACAACAGTTTAAGTTTGTAGAAACTCTGCATCAGTATGATAATATCTTTCAAGAAAATAGTCTTCAATATTGTATTCCTCGACTTCTTTTTCAAAGTGCAGTAGGTTAGTATTTAGCAGAAAGTAAAACCAAAATATTTTTATTAAATACTTTTAAACATATTTGCAGTTGCTCGGTATGGACAGACAAGAAAATATTTAGTTTCTAAAGGACCAAAAGAAGACGAGCTTGTGGAATTCTGGAAAATGGTTGCAAGACAATCAGTCCATTGTGTTTTGTTTCTAAACAAGGTAATATTAAGCTGATAGACTTTTCTTTTTCTTTACCGACTTTAAACTACCGAAAATTTCAAAAACTACATATTAGTTAAGTATATCTTTTGTGATGTATTTTTTAATTTAGAAATTTCCATTGAGGGTAGACATAACTGGATCTACAGAAGTTGTGAAACTCATCCTTACGCGAGTTGTAAATACAACATGTGGACAGATGATGGAGGGCTCTTTATTGATATATAACAGAATTTCAAGAGAGGTAACTGAATGTACGACCAAAACAACTCAAACACATTACATGATTCTAAAATATTGTAGAAGTACCATGACGACAATTTATATATCTTCCAGTTTAACAACTGGAAAGTGAATCAGCTCGTACCGAATTCAGTAGATAAATTTATTTCTGTAATAAACCATTTTCGGAAAGTCACAGCCAAGGAAGAATTAGCTTTAGTTTCTTGCAGGTACCTAGCTTTTATTTGAACTAAATCCATATTGTCAAAAAACATCATCTTTATTTTTTTTTTCATTGTTTTTGTAGCGACGGATTTACAGCTTGTGGTTTATTTGTTGTTTTCTCATACATCATAGAAAAATATGAAAATGAGGCGGATATTGATGTGTGTAATGCGATACGAAACGCCAGAAGAAGCGGAAAATTATTCCTCAACAGAACGGTAAGACTAGAATTTTAAATTATAATGCCGTAAATTACAATAGTTTTTCTTTTTCTTCATAAATAATTAAAATACAGTCTGTTTCATTCTTTTAAAAATCTTCTTTTGACTAATATTTTCTAACCGTAGCTGATTGCTCTAAATTGTCGCGATAAAACTCAAGTCCTGTCACTGTTTTTAAGTAATACATATTCTGTAAGGTGGGTATTCTGTAATATAGACACACAGTTTGTTTTAAAAAAATCATACATAATCCCTCTCACCACCTACGCGTGCTCGTTTTTTAGTATTCTTTAAACATTTTTATTGTGTTTAACTTTTTTGGTTCCATCTCAAAAAACACAATTTTTCATAGTGTTGTATTACGAAGATTTTGTTCAACTATTCAAGTTCTGCTGTGCCCTTCCCTCAAAAATTATTGTTCATTAAATATCATATTGTTAAATCGCTATGTTTATTTGCTTTTTCAATATTTTCTCTTTTCTGTTTTAGAGGCAGCTAACATTCATATACGAATGCATCAAAAATTATCGCGAACATCATAACAAATACGAAGAAATTGAATAAAAAATAACCTGCATAGTGTATTTATTTACTACATCAATGAAACCTTTTGTTAGTATATTATATACCGAGGCGGAAAATATTCTATTCTTGTCGAGAGAACTATAGTGTACCGAGAGGTGCAGACTCAAGATGAACTAGTTCTCGAGACACAGGAATGGTAATTTTCCCAGGTGCGTATACTATTTTATTGATAATCGTTTTTAGTAGCTTTAAATAAATTAAAAATGTCCTAATTTAAAAGGTTATTTCTGTTTAATATTAGTTACTCAGCAGGTGTTAAAAAATACAAAAATTAACATAACTTGATAAGCGACGTTTAATTAGTAAAATTATCGTCGTCTTCGTTGATTCACTATTAAAGTATCTCCAACTGGTTACACATCGTCCCACTTGTCAAAAGAGAAAATACCAAGAAATGGTATTCACTTGGGGAGTCACAGGAACCTGTAATCACTGTTGTCACCGTGCTAGAACAAAATTTGATGTGTTTGAATTCATAATATTACCAAAATGTTCAAAAAGTACCTACTGCTCTATGCCTGCTTTTATATGTTCGATAGCATGGAATACAAATCGTCTTGTTTACTCACTGTACCAGACCACCACAGTACCACAGTATACTAGACGCAAACATTTAGTGCGTTCATGGCTTCACACCAATTTAGCTCCCATTATTCAGTAGGCTGTTACAGTCGGATGTCTTAAGGCTCTACCACACCTCAAGAAAATTTCTATTTTAAAAGATATGCAACTTGTAAAACACCCATGCTACCTCGTTATGACAGCTGCCACTCATCTCTAAGGGTTAAAATCGTTCACCTTCGTTTACAATAACTAGTTTTATTACTGCTATTGTCAGCGGGGGAAGTGTATCCCGGCTTGCAGGTAGAGCAGAGTAAGGAACTAAAATATTTATCTACTATGAAAGAAAACAAACAATATTTCTTAGCTTACGTTCGAGAGTAAAAACGCAAAAACACGTCTACTGGTATATAAAAATTGCCATTTTGTAATATTAGTTTCAAAAGTTTTGAGCGACATTTTATACTTTTATACAAGGTCAATTATGCAGCTATTTGTGGAGTTAGATCAACGGGCGTGGGTTATTCTCAAATATCAAAATTTTGTTCAGCTCTAGATATCCCTCAAATACCCCAGGCGACATATCGTAAAGCCGAAGTTAGAGTTCTAAAGAGCATCGAAGCACTTTTCGAAGAACAAACCAAAACGCAGGTAAAGAAGAGTACCGATTAGCTGTGAAGGCGAGGGAGGTAGATAATGATTGCGTCCCATATATTACCGTTATTGTCGATGGAGCTTGGAACAAATGCTCTTACAAATCCAATTACAATGCACTGGCTGGGGTAGGACGCAAAATTGGTGCCAGAACTAAAAAATACTTTATGTTGGAGTCAAAAACAAACTTTGTAGTTTCTGTAAAATCTGTATGAAACAGAAAAAAAAAATTCCAACTCATAACTGTTTTAAAAACTGGGAGCAAACATATATGTCCATGGAAGCTTCAATTATCTTAGAGGGATTTACTTTAGATACTTTATAGGAGAATTATAGGCGACGAGGATAGTAGCGTATTAAAAAAAGTTCGGGCTGCAAAACCATATGGTGCATATTATTTTATAGACAAAATTGAATGTAGAAATCACATACTTCGTAATTATTGTTCCAAAATTAGAGAAATAGTTAAAACAACGAAAGAAGATATCACTATTAAAAATGTTTATAAAAAATAGTATTCTAAAATTTAGAACAGCTATTATAAGTGCTATTAAATTTAGCAAAAATAAGCCTCTTCCTTTTTTTCCAGCATATATTTGGCAATCACGAACAATGTGCAAGTTATTTTTGTTATAAAAGTGGACAGTCAAATGATATTTTATTTTCTACTTTCGCAAATTGTGTTTTATACGAACCTTACAAACAAGTTTTAAATAGAGTTGCAACTTTGTCGTCTAGTTTACTTTTTAATATTGAGAACAATGCTGCGGAATGCTACAATTCTGTCGTTAATAAATTTGTGGGAGGAAAAAGAATAAGTTTTTCTGCACGAGGATCGTATCAAGGGCGATGCTTTGCTGCGGCAATAAGTTATAATAATAAGGGTACGTTCCTAATTCCGTTATTCAAAAAAAAAAAATTGGGGAGGCCAATGTTAGTATACGAAGGCGTTTGTGGAACAAAAATTGAAAAAAACAAAAACGATTAATAAAACTAAAACCTCTATTAAAAAATTGCGTATCCGAATTCTGGATTCCGGTAAAAATAATATCGTCAACGATGAACAAACGAAAACGAAGTGTATGAAAGAAAAAAATCGGATTTATTAATAAAGCTGTCACAGAGTAACGTAAATGCTATTGAAAAAGGTACTTGTGGTCAGCGAATGTGTAGGGAATGGAGTAAAGAAAGGACAAAATGAGAGACGGAATTAACATCGCAAATACCGTTAAAAGTATTGTGCATTCCGATAAAACTTTATGAAAAAATTGCCCAAGTCTATAGAATTTGCTATTGACAATGAAGAAAAGGCCAAAGAAAAATTTGAAGCTCTAACAAATTTGAAAAAAAATTTTAGGAGCTTCTCCAGATGGGTTAATAAATTCTAATTCAATTGCAGAGATTAAATGTTCATATGCGGCTTGCAGTAAAAATATTAAAGAGCTATTAAAAATAAAATCATTAATTTATTGTTCAATAAATGCAGTTATTACAATTACCTAGTTTGAACCCGAACCACAACTATAGGTATGTATCAGGTATAACAGGGTCCAGTGCATATAACTAAAAGATATATATATATCCTTCTTAATGCTATTGTCAGGTACTTCAAAGGGTGGTCAAATAAGCTTAAGGTATTTAAAAGGTGCTCTATTGTGTGGGCCATAAATTACAGCTTACCGCTTCAGCTAATATTTTGGGTTGCCTAACTTACCAAAATTTGCCCAAAATGCTTTGCAGTTTTTTTACAATAACTAAAAGAAGTAAAATTTTAACAGAAAACGAAAAGTGGCGCCTAAAGTAGAAAAAAATTCTCTATCACCTCGATATTTTTTAAAAGCACACCGAGTTATAGTTTTCGCTAAAAATCCGCTGGGGTTTTACGCACTTTATTTTTTATTTTAAAAACTGCTACGTTTTTTAAAAAATACAAGACGCTTCCTTAAAGATTTTTATGTCATGACCACGCACATGTATCGCCCTGCTCTTCAACTGTTAAAATAAAGGCGCAAAATGGGTTGGCGTTTTGCCTTATTTTGGCATCTTTTAATGACTGTGTGGCGGAGCCTTAAACCTGCTTACTGATAACCTACCTGAAAAGACCCTACCTGGTAAAAGCACAGGGCAGTACTGTCTCGGCCGTCCCTGACACGTCTCATGGTTTCCATCTGAAGTTTAATGAAAAAGCTGTAAAGCAGTTAAAACGTCAAACCTATAAACGCACTAAATGTTTGCGTCTAGTATATATACTGTGATATTCACATTACGCTCGGTGACATTGTTACGCCATAATACTATTGCACAATTTCCAAAAAAAATGCTGTCTACTTAAAGCTACCTCACGTGAAAACCTTCATCGGACATTATTTTCGGCGCATGGCCGCAACTTTGTTGGTTAAGAATCTCCGTTATTAACAGACCTATTATTTTGAAATTTTAAATATATGTTGTCCATAACTTTCTTTATATAACGCAAGGGCAATTTTGTTAAAAATAGTTTGTGATCATATTTTTCGTTTAATTTCAATGAAATTTTTGCATAACGTATTTTTAAAAATCAATATCTCAATTATTAAAGGAAATTTTGGAACACGGTTTTCAACTTACAAAACTCCAGAAAAAATACCAGATACATCGTCGATTTTTTCTTTTGTTAGAAACGATACACAGTAAAAAAGTTTGTGCCATAGAAGTTACTAACTTTTATTTTTACTATAGTTCAGTCTCAACAAGTAAAGTCCAAAATGGACCTTGTACAATTTCGAAAGCTTTTCAAACTGAAAACAGTGGTGATAACCCCGTTCCAAAATTTCAATAAATAACTGAAATATTGTTTTTTTAGGATACGTGATGCAAAAATTTCCACAAAAATAAAAAAATATATGATAATAAATTATTAAAAAAACTGCCCTCGCAGTTATGTAGTGAAAGCTATGGATAAGTTACATTTAAAATTTCATAACCATAGGTGTGCTAATAATGGAAGTCTTACATTCTGAAAATATATTGCAACACCATAAGAGCCATACCCAAATTTCCTTAACCATCCCCACCAACAATTTGATGATGCCATTTAAAAGAATTCTATGATTCTATGATTTAACTGTTGTACAACACTATGCCTCATACGTGTGGTGTACGAATCCGCTTTCAGTTTTTCCCTAACTGTCCAAATTTTCCCAAAACATATACAAAGTATAATAACAGTTTACCATTACCGTAAGTTATCCTGATCGTGGTCTAATGGATAAGAGTACAGAACGCGGTCCGGACGTCTCGCGTTCGACACCAAATTTGGCTTTTCATGTATTCTTTTTTTTCACGTTGTGTATTATCTATCTTTATGACGTCATACTACATTTTTTATTGATCAAATTAAGAACGAGTCACCCTACTTTCTCGAAAAGGTGAGAATACGCCCGTCTTTATTTCATACAAATTATAATAATATTCGACTGTTGCTGAGTCAAAAATTTTACTTCTGTACCAAATACTAATGCCCATAGACCACCAAAAATTGAGAAAATAGAAATATTGTCGAAAAACGACAAAAAGTCCGAAAATCTTAAAAAAAACAAACTTTTAAACTCTCCAGAATGGCTGCTTCTGGATCAAGATAACGGGGAACGGAAGAAATCATTGAAAACGACCGAAAAAGGCGATAAAATCTTTTAAAATGCTACAATTTTTAGGTAGATCATCACGATCCATAGACGAGTAAAAATTTGGTACCTGAAAAATATGGTTAAAAATTACCAAATAAAGTAGCGAGCCACTATTAATGTTTGTGGTTTTTGTGTGAGCTTGGCAACAATAGACCTTTTACACCAGCAAGTTTTCAAAAACTCGGGAATATTTGTCCGCGTGCACATTTAAGTTGGCAACAATGAATCTTTTAAATGAAGCACCACATCGATTGGTAGATTACGTGGCACCAAATTTAAAATGTGAGAAAATCAGTTTAAATGATTCTTTGTTGCCAATCTAAATTTGAGTGCGGACAA